CCAAGTTGGAAAGTAAAATCCTGGCTGCTGGCATTCTGAGAGCTGAGTGGGTTAAGAGGGCTTGGAGGTGGGAGTGCCTTAGCATTCATCGTTCAGGATATACCAGTCACTTAATCTCTTTGGTTCTGGTGTAGTAGACCTATCTTTGGTGAATCTGGGTCTCTCCAATTCAGAGACCCTCTATTTTACCTTTTCCAGAGAATAAACTTTCAGATGTCTGCCCCTTCCCGGTGGCATGGAGAGGAGAGGGGATACAGGGATGCACCCAATCCCTCTCATTTTAGAGGTCTTCCTTTACTCCCAGTTCCAGAGGAATCTGGTGTTATCCATTTGGGAGTCTTTTGAAGAGTCCAAGGTGTAAATCAGGTTTTCTCAGTTTCCTCCAGTGATAACTTGGGATTTTCATGTTTCTTGAGTTGTTTTTGTCAGTTACGTATCATCAATATGCTTTGTAGCTTCCAAACTTTTATTGCTGTTGTCTCCTCCCCTAATTGCCCCATATTTGTTAGTTTATGTCTTTAAAAAACCAAAACACTTTATGGTAAATTTAATGTGATTTTAGGCAGGAATGAAATTGGAAGTGTGTGTGTGCACGTGTGCGTACTTGCATGCATGTGTGTGTTTTCATATTAACCCAGAAAAATCATTTAATTTGTATTGCTTGTGTTCCTTGGGTCAGGCATGGATTGGCTCTTACTTGAGTGGCCATGTTTGCGAATCCTCCACACCTGCCCCATTACGCACCCTCAAGCTTGACTCCTTGCCTTGGTTTTCTGCAAGTACTGGAATCTTATCCCTAATTCCCATTTTCATCTCACAAAGCAGGAAGCCAAACTGGCAGGAATCTTTCTGAATATACGTAGTGTTTTTCATAATAGTAACCTTGAATTGCCTCTATTCCTTGTAGCTTTTCAGTGGGATGGAAGTGTATTGGCCAGAGGCAGGGGTTTTAGGAACCTGAGTATGATGGCGATTATGTTCACAGTCTCGGAGCGTGTGATCAGAGGAAGTGCTGGTTTCTCCTTCACTCTCTCTAGCCTAGCAACCTCTTACCTTTGCCTGTTTTCTCTCCCCAGATTCCTGAGCCTGTGCTGTCCCTGTGACCCTGTGACTTTCTTCCACCCTCTTTCCCTTCTGATGTATTTGTGGCATTTCCAAGTCCAGCCATTTCAAATCTGCCCCAGCTGCACTTGGATTCAGATTTAAGTCACCATGGTTCTAAGAGCTTTATATGTACTAACTCACTTAATCTCCACAGCAACTCTATTATTATTCCTGTTTTACAGATTCAGAAGCTGAGGCACAGAGAGGTTAAGTAAACTTGACCAGGGTCAACCAGCTAATCAGTCAGAGCCCAGATGTGAATCTGAGCAATCTGACTCCAGAGTACATTTTAAACCACTATGTTTAGGCCACTTATATATCTTATCCATGCCAAACACTGCTTTATATATATAAAATATATAAACATATATAAATGTATATTATATGTTATGTAAACATATGTATATAATAGATAGATATTATAAGTTACCGTACATAAATATAATCATTTAATCCTCATGAAACCCTAGATCAAGCAAACAACCAAAAAGAAAAGATACTGAACATATGAACAACAAAATTAACAGCTTGAAGTAATGGACACATGTAGACTCCTACACCCAATATTTGAAGAAAACATAATTTGTAAGTACATAGAACATTTATAAATATTGGCCATGAAACAAGTCTTAAAAATGTTCATAGTATCCGAATCATATATAACATATTCTGTGATCAAAATACATATAAAGTGGAAATCTAAAAAAATTTTTAAAAACTCATATATTTGGGAATTTTAAAGCACATTCATAGCTTGAAAAATAAATCATAAAGAAAAGTAGAAAATATTCATAACTGGATAACAAGTTAAATACAACATTTCAAAACTTGTGAGATGCAGCCAAAGCAGTACTTAAAGAAAAATGCATAGACTAGTCCCCACCTTGTCTGTGGTTTCACCTTCTGTGATTTCAACTGAGGTCTGAAAATATTAAATGGAAAATATTAAGTGGAAAATTCAAGATTCAATTAAATAAGTTTTAAATTGCATGCCTTCTGAGCAATGTGATGAAATCTTATGCTGCCCTGCTCTGTCCTGCCTGGGGTCCCCAGCCATTGACATCGTCCACTCCTGACATCCAATCATCATCAATATCGTCATGGCCCAATAATCCATGAGAACCGGAAGCAGATGACCCTTCTTCTGACATAGGGTCAGAAGGTCAATAGTAGCCTAACTCTACATCACAATCCCTTCATCATTCATCTCATTGCATCATGACATTTTATTATCTCATGTTATCATAAGCAGCAGCAGAAGAAGGGTGTGTACAGAACAATAAGATATTTTGAGAGAGAGATCATATTCACAAACTTTTATTGCAATATATTGTTATAATTGTTCTATTTTATTATTAAGTATGGTTGTTATTCTCTTACTGTGCCTAATTTGTAAATTAAACTTTATCATAGGTTTATAGGTATAGGAAAAAAATAGTATGTATAGGGTTCAGTACTACTGGTGGTTTCAGGCATTCAATGGGAGCCTTGGACCGTATCTCCAGCAGGTAAAAGGGAACCACTATAGTCGTAAATGCTTATTTTAAGAAAAGAAGAAAGGTTAAAAATTAATAAGCTAGGCTTTCAATTTAAGAAGTCACAGGGCGAGAGAGAGTCATGGACATATACACACTAACAAACGTAAGGTAGATAGCTAGTGGGAAGCAGCCGCGTGGCACAGGGATATCGGCTCGGTGCTTTGTGACCGCCTGGAGGGGTGGGATAGGGAGGGTGGGAGGGAGGGAGACGCAAGAGGGAAGAGATATGGGAACATATGTATATGTATAACTGATTCACTTTGTTATAAAGCAGAAACTAACAACAACAAAAAAAGAAGTCAGGAAAAGTACAATGAGAAAGAAGCAAGGAAAATAAGAGAGAGATAATAAATATAGGAGCATAAATGAACAAAATGGAAATCATTCTTAATTAGGATTAGTTGGCAATATTCAATATGAGACTTAAAAATTGGAAAGAGTATCTTCTAAAAAAGGTAAGGAAAAGGGCTATCACACACATAGCTTCATGTCCAGTTCTTTCCTATTTTAAGGTCCTTAAATGGATTTTACAGAAAGGATTAGAGGATACTTGCTTTTTAAATGACATTTTTTTTCTAATTCTTCAAGTAATGCAAGGAAAATTCGAAAATATAGAACAATGTAAAGGCAAGAAATATAACTCATAGTCTCATCATTTGGTGATAATTATTAACATTTAGGTATTTTCCAGTCATTTTTCTACGTATCTGAACGTTTATACACGTCTACATGTAATTGTATGCTTATTTTAAAATTTGGGTTCACACTGTGCACAAAGATTTATATACAATTTTTACTTAAAATTGCATCATCAGCATATACTCTTTAAATATAAAATTTGGGTGGCTGTGTTGATATTTGATTTACTGATAGATATACTGTACTGAATTTGACTGTGCCCCTGTTGTTAGACATTGTTTCCACTTCTGTGGTAGAGTCATTCAGCTGACATCTGTTCATGGTCCACTCAATGTATGGTACCATAATGAATCTAAACACAATGGAGACAGTCTTAGTGACAAACTGGTGGGGTTGACCTGCCAGAAGTTCATTTACAAGAGGACTGAGGAGCATTTTGGAGAAAGAGGATGCTGCATATGACAAGCTTGTGGGCTTGATAGAGTATTCAGATACTCTCTGGCTGGCTTTCTTCCTCATCCTTTCCTTTCCTGGCAGCAATGTCTGCGTGGCTTCATTTTTGGTTTCATAGTTCAAATTTTCAAGCAAGAATAACCACCAATCTCATTTGGACAGTGTTTCACTTTAGGCTAAATCATTGGCCACTAGAGTGACAATAGGCTGCCCATGGCTTGGGTGCCGGTCCCAGTTCTGTCAGCTAAGTCCAGGTCATGGGGTTCATGTGGTACCCAACATGGCTTGCTTTCAAGATGCTCACTTCAGCAAAGGCTGTGGACAGGGCAGCTATCTTAAAGGAGGCTATAGGTTGAGCAGGCACCAAGGAGAGAGGCATTCTCCAGACTACTGGCTACCACTGCCAGGCAGGCGTTGGTAGAGCAATGTTGACAGTGTCCATGGAGGAGGGCAATGGGGAAGTGGTGGAAGTGTTAAGGCCCAATGGGTCCATGATGGAGACAGGTACTCAGCAGAGCAGCCATGAGGAGCAGAAGAGCCTGGCATGAATGTCCAACATTGAGTGTCTCCTATGTCTGCTTTGGGCTAGGCCCTACGGATGATGGAAAAATATAAAACATGACAGCTGTCCTCCAGAAGGTCATGCCAAGTATAAGTAGAAAGTTCATAAATGTTTTACTTTAAAAATTTTTTTTAAATAAATATTTAGTTGTAACTCTCCATGAAACAGGTATCAACTGGTCAGTGGTCACTTTCTATAACCCACTGAGCATGTCCTCAACTGCTCATTCATTTCAAGTCTACTTCTTGTGGCTCATCATACTCACCACCAGGAGTAAAAAAATAATGTCAATTAGCACAGGGAGATCAGCTTGGTGGTTTGTGACCACCTAGAGGGGTGGGATAGGGAGGGTGGGAGGGAGGGGTTTGCAAGAGGGAAGAGATATGGGAACATACGTATATGTATAACTGATTCACTTTGTTATAGAGCAGAAACTAACACACCATTGTAAAGAAATTATACTCCAATAAAGATGTTAAAAAAATTTTTTTTAAATAATGCCAAGAGCTCAATTAGATTATATAAATTTGTGTACAACATTTTGTGGCTTATCTATCTCACTGCTTTTTCCACTGAACATTGATTGAAGTGTTATTCTGTGATGTTTACAGATAGTCAATGTTGGAAAACATTTGGAAAAAGTGTATTCCTTTAAAAGTTGGAAAAATAGCAAACCTTTTAATAGTAAAAAATATGTTTTTTTTAAAAAGTATTTTAATAGTAAAACATAATAAAGAAAACTTGGAAAATATAGACAAGTAGGAAGGGTCACCTAGGACCCAAATCAACCACAGCTGACATTTTTGTGTAAATCCATCTAGATTTAGTTTTTATCCTGTATTTTGGTTATTTGGTTTTGTTTTGTTTGTTTTGGATAGTTACCCTTATACTGTAAACATCAATTTGTAATCTGCTTTTTCACATAGTACTACTCATAATCTTTAAATCATCATTTTACATAATATTACAACTAACGTACCATGCTTTGTTTAATCCTTCCCCTAAAGTTAGACTTTCTGGGTATTTCTAATTTTCCAGAATATTAAATAATTTTCAAATATATGTAGTTGCATAAAGTTTTATCTCGTATTCTTATTTATTTTCATAGGATAGGTTATAGAAATTGGATTTATTTGATCAAAGGGTATGAACATTTCTGAAGATCCTGACACATATAGCTTTAGAAAAAAATTCTAAATGGAAGGCACTTCCGGTGAGGACAATAAATACCAACTGGAGAAAAAAGCCATCATCTGAATATGGCCCTCAAGTCCAAACAATAGACACAAGGTAGATGACCATATCTTGCTAAAGAAAAACATTCTTGTTCTTATTCAAATGATTCCAGGCTATAAAAGAAAGAAAGAAAGAAAGAAAGAAAAACAAAGTAAGTAAACTTGATTCATAATCCATAATCCAAGTAGCAACTTAAACTTATAGTTTATATGCAAAACATGATAGAATAGGAAAATATCTATTTGAAACTACTAGGAAAGGTATTATACATTATATGTTGTTAAACAAGATACAAGATGTCTCATTCGTGATTTCTCTTTACTCTGGACTTGATGGATAGGTTGAGCAGTTTCCACCATAATTAAATTAACGTTAATATTTTAGCAGATGAAGCAGAAGTAGTTTCAATAGATTAAAGACATATTTCTCTTCTTCAAAACCACTCACTAATGACTCAATATAAAAAAGGATTATTTGAATGTAGCAGCATTCAAAAGAGAAATTATATCACTGGGATTGGTTGTGAGCCTTCGACTATTTTATGAACAGGGACATTCTCAATAAATGCTAAGATTTCTTTGAGCTTTGAGTTATTTCTACATAGAAATATTGCTCATTTAAAACACCTGTGGTGTTTTCACCATACAACATAGAATGTGATTTTATAGTTATTCCATCGATTCAATCCATTTAGATAAGCCAACAGACACATTGGAATATTAGAAAAATTGAGGTATTAGAGGTTGAGTAAACATGAGGGCAGTAGGAATAAAAAGAAAATGATGGAATTCTAAAATCCTTCCAACAAGATCCATTGAGTCCTGGACAGTGGGGGTAAAATGGAGGAGGTACAGGTGCCAGTGGGGTTCTGTTACCTGGATGATGACTGAATAGGTTCCACACAGTATCTTGGACAACTGAATGACTACTCTGATGAGGCAGACAATCACTTGAAGACCACTGAGAGCTATGAGAATAGAAAATAAGATGATGTTCCACTCCACTACATGTGCTGGTTCCAGGCACTGAATCCATACGCTAGAATCTGTAAGGAAACTGAGAGAGAGGAAGGAAATGGTCAACATGATGCATGGCCACGCCTAAAGACTTGGTCCAAGGAAGAAGGCTACAAGTTTTCATATGTTTGGGAAATTAAGATACTGCTATATGATTAAAAAACAATATTATTAAATGTGAATGAATAGATAAAATTATTCAGATACACAATTGAACACACAGTATGCACAGCACAGGGCTATGCTTATTAGGAACATGGTACCTGCCTCAGACAATTCTAATTCACTTAGGAGGCAAGATGCATACTGAAGAGTTCAACAGCAATGAAAGGCCTCACATGTCAGTACCAAGAGAGGTAGAGATTGCCCATTTCCCAGGAGTCCAGAGTTAGCCTACGCTATCAGGGACAGGGCTGAGCTAGCGCTGGATATAAAATCACACAGGTGGTAAAAGAGCAAAGAGAAATGATGCTCTTATTCTTAGACTCTGTCCCAAAGCCTTTGAGAACAATGGTTCTCAAATTTGAGCATACATCAAGATTATCTGGAAAGCTTGTGAAAATGCAGATTGCTGGGTCCCAGCCTAGAGTTTCAGATTCAGAAGGTCTGGATGGGGTGGAGACTTTGGGTTTCTATGTTCCCAGGTGATGTTGATGCTGCTGGTCTGGGGTCCACTGTGTGTTCTGCAGCTCTTAAAAAAGATTGAGATTATGAGGTGGAAAAGCAAAAGACTGAATGGTTTAATCAGTCTAGCGTAGCACAGGATTTGGAGAATTAAACCACCTCCATGTTTAAGATAGTCTTAAAACCATGCTGAATTATCCTGTCTTTTGCCCACTTCCAGGTCAGCTATGGTCATTAGCATTTCTCCAAGAGTGACACTCTCTTTGTTGAACTAAATCGAAATTAAAAACTGGTCTCCTCAAAAAAAAAAAAAAAAATTCCCCCCCCCACAAAAACAATCCAGCCCAGTTACAGGGCAGAGCTGTTTGTAAATATCTTGTTGATAGCAAGATGTCTTTTTTCAAAACAGCGATTCAAGCAACCTTGGTGCCAGCCAAGTGGTCCTTAACTCTCTCTTTCCTCCCTTTCTTTATTTCTTATTCTCTATGCTCTGGGACATTCAGAGGCACTCTGAGAATTTCTTGGTATTGTTAATGGACCTTAGGTCTCAAGGGGTAAACAGCACTGAATATGGAGTCAGAACTCCTGGATCTGTAGGATCTTGGGCCAGGGATTTTACCTCTTTGATCTGGACAATGGGTATAAAATATCTAACCCTAGGGTTATTGTGAATATTTGATGAGACGTATGTAAAAATGCTTTGGAACCTATAAAGCACAATACAGATGTAATTTCCTGTTATCATTTCCCTGGACCCACTTCTTACACCCTCCTACTCCTAACTCAGTCTCCGACACCAGGGAAGCTAATCCCTTCAAGATCCTTACTCTGGACTGTTCCCAGTATATACTCTGCACAGATCATCCAACACTTTAAAGCAAGATGCCTTGCAGGATTTCTCTTTTTCTCCTAGGATACGGTCCTATTTATTCTTCTTGTATCAACGGAATGAGTCATAAACGCACTATCAGGGTCTGGAAGGAATAGAGAAATTTGCCCTGATACTCATTCTCTCCACAATTTCTATACACCGTTCTAACAAAACATGTACTTCGTTATGTTATAATTCTGTCTATAGCTATATCTGTATATCTAGTTCCTCACTACACAGTGTACTGTGAGAACTCTGTTGGGATTTATGCATCTCTAAATGGCCATGTCTAAGGCCTAAGGCAGTGCCTGGGGCATTGCAAAGATCAACAAATGCTCCTTAAATGAAACTGATGCAGGATCCTCGCTAGTCACCATGCCAGTGGCTGAACTTAATGGCTGAACTTGCTGTCAGCTTGGCAGATGGAAGACCATCATGTGGTATAGAAGGTTATGCAAAGTAATGATTTTAATAATAAAATCTGGCATGTCGAGAATTTATTAAATCTAAGCTGTGCTTTACTTCTGTTTAATTTTCAGTTCTGTGAGGTAGGAATGATTATTATCTCCAGTGTACAGAGGCTCAGAGATATCCAGATATTTGTCTAAGGCCATACAGTTTGTAAGTAGGAGACGGGAGACTTCAACCCAGATCTACAAGCACTGAAGCTCTGTGCTCTAAGGGCGATGTTCATTCTAAGGCCTCCAGCTCAGCAGAACGTTCTGTCAAATCTGTGTGAGTTTCTAGAGGGAAGTGAACCTGTGTAATTTATCTTTGATTGTCTAGCACCTAATCCAAGGCAGGGACATAGTAGGTGCTTAATAAATATTTGTTGAATAAATGTACATATGAAGAGGTGATTTGGGCAATTTTCAGCTGATTTGTTCAACATTAACAGCTGTTCCACCTTGCGTTCACCAAGCCTTGGAAACTTCTTTAGGGGCCCAGAAACTTAGCTTCCCTTCATGGCCTCCAATTTTTCACCTCTAAACACGGAATCAGGTGAATACAAATATCTAGGGCAACTTTAAAGGAGGAATGAAGAGGCATGTGGGCAGCCTGAGATTCCTGCATTGAAATTGGAGGCTTACTTGTTTTGGGGGTGGGGAAAAGTTCAGGGGCTGGTGGCATAAAGAACGACTCTTTGTACCCAGTGGGACTTTCTACATTAGGGTCCCCTTTCCTGAGCCCTTTCAATCCCAAAGGAGTGTCTCCTCCAAGTGTTCAGAAAGACCTGAAGTAATTTTCTAGGTTCTCCTGACCTGAGGGAGAGCTCTGCTCACAGCATGGGGTACCTCGTGGACACTTTAGAATAAAGGCAGCTATGGGCACAGAAGCAGTTGTGCTGTGCAGGCTGAGGTGAGCAGGTAAAGCTCCAAATGGATGTGGGCTTTGAACAATAGAGCCAGCCATGGGGATTTGAGAAGAAAGTGTAACTTCCCCAGGGAATGGTACCGACACTCCCTCATTTTATTCCATTGGAATTGTCTGTGCAGTACAAGACAGGGAGAGATTGAGTAGATCTTCTTGTATCTCTGTCTGGGCCCTGCTCCCTCCCGAGCTGGTAGGGCCATGAGCCAGCACAATGCCAGTGTGAGGCATTCTGTGATCCAGGACTGGGTCCCTCAACGCTTGACTGAACTACCAGCCTTCGGAGCAAGGCTACCCCTAGGACTCTTGTTCAGTACATGCCCCATAAGCTCTTGGCTCCTTCCACAAACTCCTGCACCTACTCATGTCCCTGGATCTCACTTGGCTGCCCACCTTGCCTGGTTCTACCTCCGTGTGGCCCCTAATGGTATAGCTCCGGATAGCACCATCCAACGGCACTGTGATTCTCTCCCAGCCAAGCCCTTTCACATCTATAACAGACTCCATGTCCAGCCTGGCCACAAAACAAGACTGACTTCCCAGAGCCACCCAAGCCCCAAGCTCCAGCAATTACCAGACCCCGATAACGACGAAGCCCTGTTCTGCAGTATGGCAGAAACATGCCTTTCATCCAGAAATGTCCACGACAGCCTTAAAATAGTGAATGCATGTGACATTAAAAGACTGGAGGAAAAAAGATCTAAACAGAGTTCAGTGTAGGAACAAATTGGTCTGGACATTAGCAAACTATTAGGAACATTTTGGACTAAGGTATACACAGAACCGCTAAGTGGTCATGGAAAATGAGTATGGGCATGCAGCCAGGTGTTTCTGACTTTCAGACCACCTCCCAAATCAGGGAATTATTCCTTACCGTCCTGCAGTGCCTTCAAAGGCGTACTCCCAGCCATCAAGGGTGCGGCAGTAAGGGCCCTGAAGAAGGCCCAAAGCAGATATGACCAGGCAGTATCCAGAGAAAGCAATTCCAAGGGCAGAAAAGATCATCGACAGCAGTGTCTAAATTAAACATAGAAGAAGGTTAGTGCCATAGAATGAGACAAGGGGATATTGTGAATAAGGGATCAGATAGGTAACTTCCCCTAGTCATCCAAGCCTACTGCAGCCTGTGTAATAACAAATGTCCACAGAAAAAAAGGAAACATTTAATCTAATCCCACTTGATCTTAAAAATAAGTTTTTAAATGATTTTTTCCTTTGGCATTCCATGGAGAAAATTAGTTAATTTACTAAATTTCTCCCCTTTTTTTCTGGAGCTTTGATATCGAAATAATGATCAACTCATACATAAATGCAATGAAAGGATGTGATCAATCAATCTATACTTCTTTATTGAAGACGTTATTTTCTGGGTAGGGTGGGTTCTCTAAGAATCAAAAGCTATGATCCTTGTTTTTCTCTTAAGAAGATGATATTTGAATATGTTCGCACCCAGGAATATGTGGGGAAATATCATGTGTTAGCCTAGATGGTCATTTATACTCAAGTGAGCATGGGATTGAAGGGGAGGCGGGTATTTTCATTTGAGTAGAAAGAATGAGCAATGTTCACCACCAGATCCATACAAGCTAAGTTGTGAGACTAAGTAGATTGATCTGATTTAAAGGGATTCCTACAGATGAGTAGAGGGGAGAAGCTTGGCATGGTGCTAAAACTGAGAAGGCAGGGCTGATAAGACACAATCCAGCCCTTATATCACTTATAACGTGAGTGTAACTTGGGAGATCCAGGCAGAAGCTGGCCTTGGATGCTGGATCAAGGAGACTGGACTTCATCCTTCAGAGTAAGTGGATTTTCCTCCCACAGCCTTTGATTAAAATTTTTTTTCAAATCTACAAAAAAGTTGAAAGTATAGTACCTCTTTCTTAGACTCAACTTTTGTGACGATTTTACCATTTTTGCTTGCTCTCTCTCCCTCTCTCTCGGTATGTATATGTACATCGACAAACACATATATTTATTTACATTTTTGTCGCTTAACCATTTGAAAGTAGGTTGCAGACATTGGGATATCTCACCCCTAAACGCACCAGCACTTACGTCCCAAGAATAAAGATATTCTATTATTCTGCAATGGTTTTTCTTTTTTTGTACAGGATCCAATGAAGGTTTAGGCACAAGGTTACATCTCTTTGGTTTCCTTTAATCTACACTAGTCTTGCTGCCTTTTTTCTTTCAGGATATTAAATTGTTTTTAAAGAATCCCAGCCAGTGGTCTTGTAGAAAGTCCCACATTCAGGGCTTTTCTGATTGTTTCCTCACAATTGGACTTGGATTAAACACTTTGGCAAGAACATGTGATTGGCGTGGGTACATTATGGGCCTCTCACTGCTACTGATGATGCTAAATTTGATCTCTTGGTTAAAGTGGTGTCCTTCAGATCTATAAATGTCCATTTTCTACTTTGCTATTAGGAAGGCATTTGTGAGGTAATACTTTGAGACTGTGTCATATCTTGTTCCCTAAAGACATGTCAACAGGTGGATTTAGCATCTATTGATGACCCTCATGTTCACTGATCACCGATTATCACAATAAGCGGTTGTAATGTACTGCTTTTCTAATTTTTCATTTCTCCTGCATTTGTAAGTTATCATTTTTCTGTACAGAAGAAATTCTATTTCCCGTTTCTCTCCTCTGCCCCTCTCTTTCTGTAATATTGTGGACGCATGGATTTTCTAATTCATTATGTTATAACTCATAACTGTTATTATTCCTTTCAATGCTCAAATGGTCAAATATGACCAGTGGGAACATCCCTTCAAGTCAATTCCTGTACCCTTCAATATACCCCTATCATTCTTTGAACACTTCCTTGCTTCCTGGCACAAGATGTCCCAAGATCAGTTTGAATTTATGCTGCCTTAGACCTGGAATAGCTCTTTTTCTAACAAGCCATGGAATTAATTTTTGAGCAAGGAAGTGACATGAACCAATAAATGATTTTGGAAAATTACTCCGGCAGTGGTGGCACACCAGCCAGAAGTGAGAGAGCCCCCAGATAAGAATTCCATGTGGAGAAAACGTCAAGTTGTGGCAACAAAGACATGCACTGGACAAAAAGACATTGAGGAGGAAGTGAGTAGCTGGAGATGGGCTGAAAAAAATTCCAGAGTTTGGGACTTGAGTGAAAAGGAGACAAAAATAGGGATGCCAAGAAAAGCAGTATTGCTTGGGAGAAAATTTAATTTAGTTTAAAAAACGTCGATTTCGAGTGAGAGTAGGATGGCCAGACAGAAACATGCAGTGGCCAGTTGATAAATTCAAAAGCTGAGACCAGAAAAAGAACAAAAAAACCTGCAAGTTTTGGAACAAAGTTTATATCAAATGATATTTCTTTGCTTGGAGTTATTTTATAAATGTAACATCAATACATGGTCATTATGGAAAATCAGAAAAAAAGTATTTTAAAAACACAAAGAAGGAAAGAACAATTATGCTTTTTTCCAATTTGATACTAGTAATCTCATTGGCAACTTTACATATGATGGAAAGCTCTTTCAAGTTATGTTTCTCATATTGATTATTAATAGAGTTTTGCCTTGTCATGGGATGAGATAAATAGGTTTTTTTTTTTTTACAGTAGATTTCTGTTAGTTATACTTTGTAAAAAATATTTACCTATTCGCTAATGTCATCTTTGAAAAAGGAAGAAGGACGTTTTCAAAAGATTGAGCTCCTTATTTACCAAATGGCCTTAAGCAGTTTGCTGGAAAGATCAGTGAAGAATTTCTCCATTTGGTGAATTTACAACCATACCATAATATATATATATGTATGTATACATGTATAAATTACAATCTAATGAGTGGATACAATTGCACAATCGAAGTAAGCCTCAAAATAAAGTGGGAATAAGAATCTCTCTGAGTCACAGTGTCATTGTCCGTAAAACGTAGATGATGTAGATGGTTACAGCGCCTACATAATAGGGCTGTTTCAAAAATTAAAGGATACAATGCATATAAAAATTATTTGAAAAGTGAAAAGCATAATCAAAATATTATCTATTATTTCAAGTGCCCTTATTTGGCCAGTATTTGTTTTCCAGTGGTAACAACCCACAGAATGTTGGCAGAAGATGCGACACCACAGACGAATGGGGTTCAGGTCATGCTGCTCCAAAACATGGCATCTTGGCATATTAATATCTTAAGCCGAAGGAGTTTGTGGAAATGGCAGAAGCGGGAAGTTCACTCTAACCTCCCCGACCTTCTCACCCTTCTTCCCTGAAACAGGTCATAAAACGCCCAGGTGAAAGATACCCTCCCTGCACCTGGAGGAAGGAAGACATTCTTATTACCAGAGACTAAAATTTGGGGCCAAGAACTCTGTATAAATAAATGTTGTTTAACTAAACCTTATTTTCCTAGTTACTTCTTCACCTTTTTCTATCCCTAACCCAAATCTCTCTGTCTTGTTAATTCTTCACAAAGTTATTATTTCTTTATCTAAAAAGTTTAGATGCTTCCTGCTCTAGTCACATCTTCGGGGTCTTCATTCTCTTGTGAAATCACACATGTACATGTGAAAATTCAATAAAATTTGTTTGCTTTTCTCATGTTAACCTGTCATCAGATTAATTTTCAGACCCAACCAGGGACCCAAAGAGGGTTGAGGAAACTTTTTTCTCCTCTACAAAATGAATCTTAGATGACCTAAATTTCCATTCCAGAGCTTCAGAAGTTACAAACTGGTGCAGACTCAAATTTGGCCTGCAAGATGTGTTTTATTTAGTTTAAATGAGAATTAATTGCCAACATTTTATAGTTGTGAAGTTTTACTTAAAACTCCATATTTCTACTTCCTATTGAAAATTGAGAATTATTGCCCAATATTGTAGTGGTAGCAATTGGCTGGACCTGAGTAGCAGCTCCCTCTCTTCCTTAAATAGAAAATTTGCTCTAATGTCTACATATTTCACATATTTCACTGCCATCAGGTATTTGGCATCTGGGGGCATATCAGTTAGGACCCCTATCCTAGAGCATACTTTGAAAGAACCAAGCAGAAAATCCAGGGAATCCTCTCTCCCTTCCTCCTGCTCTTTCCACTGAGATGCCAGTCATCTCATCCAATGTTGACTATGACAGTGTCCAGACTCTACGTTACTTCTAGCATCCATTTGTGCTGGAGATGCTAATAATGAGTTAAGGTAAATTGAACACATGGATTTTTATTAGATACTTAAGGGTACAAACATTTCTTTTCTAGAAATTCCCTGAGTACGTAGGTTAAAATTTACCTGAATCCATTGCTTCACCTAGACCATTTTGAAAGCTTTTCTGTAGTATAATACCAACAGTTACTGGGGGATGTTTGATTCAATTGGTTAAGAAAGTAGACTCACACACACACACACACACACACACACACACACACACAGAGGGAGAGTATTTTGGTCTTCTAATTCTTCCCCACTAGGGGCACAATGGTGAATTAAACAACGAATTTAATCTTCCAAAAGCAACAGTCAAATAAAGTAAGCCATACCATCTTGGCCGCATATTTAAATGTAATTGCACCTCGGACCAACTAAGTCAGAGTCTCTGGGGGTGGGATTCTAAGGCCAAGCTCCCAGATCATTGCAATGTGCAGACAACATGTGGAACCACTGCCGCAAAGAATGCCTCCCAGACCTCTGGCAAAGCTCCTCCTAGTTAATGAATCATATTCTCTTTGAGTCACAGGTGACTCATCTATAAAGCAGGAGTAGCAATGATATAATTCATTGGGTAAATGTGAACAAACTATGAAGTGCTGTGCAAATATGAATAAATGATGATGACAGGAGGAGGGGGAGGTGGATGATGGTGGAAATACAGGAACCCAGTGCCTATGTGTTGAGCATAGGCTTAGAAAATGTGGTTGTATTGTTCTCTCTTCACTCTATTTTAATTATCTTTAAAGTTCTAGCTTTAAAAATGTACATCATATATACCCAACTCTGAGATAAATCTAATGCTGTGTGAAAGAAGCCAGATACAGAAGACCAATACTGTATGATTCTATTTATATAAAATACAAACTAATCTATAATGACAAAAAGAGATCAACGATTATCTCTTGGGGGTGATGAAAATGTTCCATATCTTGACTACGATGCTAGTTTCATGGGTAAACTGTCAAAACTCATGGAATTTTACACTTTTAATGGATGGCATCTATTATATGTAAATTAGTCTTCAATAAAGTTGATAAGGGAAAAAATAGACTCACAGAAACCCAGTTAGGAAAAGGTAATCTTATTTTCTAATTTCATATATCTTTAAATATTGAATTGCTAGAAGAATATCAGTAGAACAAAAGTGGAGGAAAACGGTAGACAAAATAGATAATATTTGGAGGAAACTCTTGGGCTCTGAACTGAAAGGATGATGGAGAGGGTACAATAGTGTCAATATTTTCACGTTCCCAAGTGAGAGGAAAGAAAGCCAGAGCACACTCAACCATCCTCAAAACACTATTGTTCTTACCATGTATTTTTTGCTGCAGTTTTCACTCTGGCAACATTTATGGTTGTTATCATTCTCCAGTACAAGAAGAATTGCTGCTACTATAAGCATCTATAGTAGGGAAGAGAAAAGATATCAGAAATGGAATACTAGTTTGCATTCATGCTCAGAATCAGAGCACAGTGCTTCAGAGCATAGACTCTGGGATCAGGTAACTCTGGGTTCAAATCCCGGTTCTGCCACTTAATAACTGTATGCACTCCAGAGTCCTTTCCTACAAAATGGTGCTGAGAACTCACCTCTTTGGGTTGTTGTGAGCTCTTGTACGTAAAATTTTGAATAGTGTGCTTGATTCATAACATGTGATTGATAAATGTTAGCTGTTATCATAGTCATCAGTTATCAAAAGTTAATGATTAAGGAGGGGCAAATGGTATGGACATGAGAATACCACCCTCTGCAGCAAGCGTGCACTTCTCACTGACTCAGTTGTGGAGGACAAAGGAAAACCATTCACCAGACTTTGCCATTTGCCAGCCTCTTTCTTTTTACTGCCCTCTGGGAATCCAGGTGAAAGGTATGGTTACTCTGAAACTAAATCTCTTAATCCAAAGTAAAGTAAATTCAATGTCCCCGAGTATTCAGATCATCTTAGATTCAGATTTTCCAGTGGGTTTTGTCTGTATGAAGCCAACAAACTGGGAGAATTCAGTGTATTCTACTTCCCTTTCTTGGTATCTTAGAGAAAGGGCTCAAGTTCCGGAAAGAACATGGATTTCTTTACTATTGGGTTGGCCAAAAACTTCGTTCAGGTACAGAAAAACCCGAACTATCTTTTTGGTCAACCCAAGATTACAGTCCTTGGTTTGGGCAGGTATGGACTGAGAATTGCTTCTGGCAAATTCTCCACCTATCCTTTCCTTCTACTGTTCAGTACTGAATCTTGTAGTTGAGTTCATTGTTATTTGACTCCTTGTAGTGAATATTTCCAGTTTCCAAATTCCTTCAGCCATCATTTATTTATCAATCCATTTAATTATTTATCTATATTCCTCTCCTTTCTCCAAAAAGGATTTGGTCTTGAAAGAATATTTTTCAAGAATTCCTAGACAGTGAAAACTAGAGAATAGGTTCTTTTTACAGTTTTAAATTTTACATGAAATATAAGCAAACAGTCCTACATTCTCCTCCTTTCAACACCATTAATTAACACAATTTTAAAGAGATTCTGGTTTAACTTTAGTAATGTCTTGCAAATCTTCCACTTATTACAATTATATATTGAGAGAAACAATGACAAGATAAGCCACAATAAACCAGGTGCAGTAACCAGCCTCATTACAATATTGTTAGAAATAATTAGACCTAGATCCTAGAGTCCTGTGCCAAAGGAGAAACACAGGCATAGCCCGTGTTTAAAGAGAAACTTCTCTCCCTTTTTGTTGTAAAATATAGCTGCAATACAGAGGGCTCAAGAATAATGGAGGAAAATTACCCAAAATACCACTACTCTCACATGTTTTTAAGTATGTACTCCGACATGTGTATATTTTACATAATTTCAATCATAATGTATTCACAATTTTGTTATATCTTTTTTCACTTAATATAAAATAACATGTGTTTTCCATGTTACTACATGTTCATAACTACAATTTTCATCCTTTATAAAGTGAATGGACCATAATCTATTTTGCCATGCCTATGCTAGGATGCTTCTAGTTTTTTGCTATTATAAATAATGCTGCCACAAACATCTATGTATAAATTTCTTTCCTTATTCTGGATTATTTCCTCAGAATGTATGCTCAGGTTTAGGATTACCAAGTCAAAAGACATAAGCATTTTCATGGATCTTAATATATCATATGAAAAATGTCTCCCAAAGGCTTGCATTTATTTATAGTACCACCACCAACAGTCATTATGTACCTAGCACATAGCACCTTCAGCAGCACTGTGTATTCATATTTCAAAGTTTATTAATTTAACGTGCAAAATGACAAATAAATGAAACTGCTTTCCAACATATTTATTCAAATGTTATAATAATTAAACACCCACAAAGATGTAGAGATAGATTATAATGGATTTTCTTTTTTTTTTTTTTTTTTTGCATTCTTGTTGGTATAGAAAGCTTACCGTGCACAGTGTGTTTTTTTTTTTTTAGAAATGATATGATCAGGAAAAACTTCTTTTCCTCTGAGTTGCCAACATGATTTACTATCAGTTTGTTTTTAAAGAGCACAAAGTCATCGGAAAAACATCCATGGATTCTTACTGTGCATACTTCGACTTAGTTTTTCATCAACACCCACCCAGAGACATTGAGTAACTTGCTTTAAAGTCTCATGACACAAATGACAGCGCTTAGACTGGAACTCAAGTTTGTCTGAATCTTCAAATCTCTGCTTTTCCCACTGTCTTAACACCACTCCAAGCTAGAGAAATCCTGAGTACAGACAAAAAATCCTTTCTAGGAAAGAGCAGTGCCACTGGAGATTAAATAGCATTAGTGGACACACAGCTTTCATGAGGATATAATATTTCTATAGGCCAGTGTCCCACCAACTTTCATTAGGACTAATTTCCTGCATTGCTGGAGCTACATAAATAAGCAGCTGACTGAAAACAAAGCTACCCTCCAAGTCCTCATGGACTACCTGCCTTTTCACCCCCCTCCATCTTCCAAACCCAAACCAAGGATTAGAAGAATGATTTTTCCATGATTCATCATTTTCACTAGGAACAAGTTCATGCTTAGTAAAAACTCCCCCTTCTGCAATCCCAAGTCTCCAAAGTCACACTTACCATAATACCTGAGAAACAGATTCCTTCAAAATACCAGACGTAGTTGGTGAGTTTATTGCTGGATGCATAGGAAGCTTGCCCATTGGGGAAATACAATAATATGTTTACAATTATACTCCAAAGTGCAAGAGGAATCAGCAGACTACTCAGGCAGCTTCCACATTTCCAAGACCCCATGTTACCCTGCTCAGAACCTGCAGGAGATTTCAAGAGTGTAGAATTACATCAGGCCTGTTTTTCTTCCTTACCTGTCTCCCCCCTGCCCCCTCCCCGAGATTACCTACCACTTTCTGGGTCAGAGCCCTTCAGTTCATATTCATGAGGAGCCCAGGACTCGGACAGAACTGCAGCCTGCAATCTGTCGGTGTGGAAATAGTGGTTTACTGTTTGGAGAACAATAGACAAAGATCAACGGCTGAAAAGCTGAGCTGGTCTTCATCCTGTGCCAAAGGAATGTGGTGTTTTTACTGCTTTTTAAAATAAGTCATTTTCCTCTGGATTAGAGCACTCAAGACTGAATCCTGGGCATGTTTGCAGAAGGAAGTTGGAGGGGGGCGGTTGGAATGGAGTCTGGCAAATTTCACCCCACAGTGGACAGGGGGGTTAAAGAGAAAACTACCAAGGGATCTTATATTGGCACCGGATGTGCGTTTTGCTCAAATATTCTGACTTTATGTATCTGTCTTTTATTCAGTGTTCTTTATTGTGTGCTCGCTACTCACCAAGCACTGTTTAAACTGCAGGGGGCACAAAAAGGACAAAGAAAGGGAAAGACTGGTGAATTAGGAAAACAAGACATCACAGTTGATGAGTTTATTGTTATAAGACGGGTACTGCTTTCCTCTAAAGAGTTCACATCTATTATCTCTACCTCGCAATAAAATAATAACAGGAATAAATTCATATCTCTTACTGCCTAGGAAAAAGAGGTAAAAGAATTGGGGTAATTTGATTAAGACTTTATGAGTAATAAGTTTGAAGTGAATTTAGGAATTCTCCGTTCCAAATTATTATTATTTTCTAAACATCTTTATTGGAGTATAATTGCTTTACAATGGTGTGTTAGTTTCTGCTTTATAACAAAGTGAATCAGCTATACGTATACATATATCCCCATATCTCTTCCCTCTTGCGTCTCCCTCTCTCCCACCCTCCCTATCCCACCCCGCTAGGTGGTCACCAAGCACCGAGCTGATCTCCCTGTGCTATGCGGCTGCTTCCCACTAGCTATCTATTTTACGTTTGGTAGTGTATATAAGTCCATGCCACTCTCTCACTTCGTCCCAGCTTACCCTTCCCCCTCCCCGTGTCCTCAAGTCCATTCTCTACTCCCTTCCAAGTTATCGCCCTAAATTTAAAGAGCTACAGATCCCTGTAGTTCTGATGACATAAGGAGAAGATTATGGGAAGGAATCTTGGCACTAATATGTTAAAGATAATGTAGACAGTGGTGTAAAGAATTCAAGGGTTGGAAAGCAACTATACTCCAATAAAAATTAATTAAAAAAAAGAATTCAAGGGTTGGGAATTCCCCAGCGTTCCAGTGGTTAGGACTCTGTGATTTCACTGCCGAGGGCCCGGGTTCAGTCCCTGGTTGGGAACTAAGATCCCACAAGCTGCGTGCCACAGCCAAAAATGAAACAAAACAAAACAAAAGGATTCAAGGGTTGCCTGACCTCATTGCCACTTTCTGCTGGTAACCTCAGAACCCTGCTTAACTTAACTTTCTCAAGTCTCAACTTCCTAAGTTGTGAAATGAGGATTAAAAAACAGTACCTTCCCCACAAAGTTAATGTGTGGGTTAAGAGGATTATGTATGCAAAACACAGTATCAGGTGATAGAGAAGGAGCAGGCAGTAAATGGGAGCCGTCATTAATAATAAAAAAGCAGTTATAGGAACATGATGGTCAAAATGGTACAGAGATCAGAAGTAAAGTCTGCTTATTTATTCCTCTCAATACCCAAAGTGTTTTGTATCATGAACCCTGAAAATCTTACCCTAGAAGTATTTTTTTTTTAATAAATTTATTTATTTATTTATTTAGACTGTGTTGGGTCTTCGTTTCTGTGCGAGGGCTTTCTCTAGTTGCGGCGAGCGGGGGCCACTCTTCATCGCGGTGCGCGGGCCTCTCACTGTCGCGGCCTCTCTTGTTGCGGAGCACAGGCTCCAGACGCGCAGGCTCAGTAGTTGTGGCTCACGGGCCTAGTTGCTCCGCGGCATGTGGGATCTTCCCAGACCCGGGCTCGAACCCGTGTCCCCTGCATTGGCAGGCAGATTCTCAACCACTGCGCCACCAGGGAAGCCCCAGAAGTATTTATATTTAATTTGTATTATCCTCCAGAAAGTATTAACACTCCATAACATAACTGCTTTTAATTCAAGAGAATAAAAATTTATTTTTACATGAATACTTTTAAATTGTATTATACTTATATTTTTTAAAAAATAGAGCTACTTGGAGCCACACTGGGATTCAAATAAAACAAACTAGAAACTAGTAGTCAAACTATGGTGGGTTCCAAAGAGGTTTCGTGGCACCCCCTAATGGATGTGATTTTTTTTCTTCCTCTAGTGTTTTTAACAAAGTGCATCAACAAAGTCTGGTCACTAGATTCCGTACCCCCTCCCCCCAGGGACATAGAAGCAACCTAAAATCACATTTCCTAGAGCTTTGGGGATGATGGGGAGAGCAACAACGTCTTTGGTTGAATATTTATTGAGTACCTGCTATGTGTCAGGCACTGTTCTAAGGGTTGGGGAGAGAGATCAGTGAAAAAGAAAGTCCAAAATCCTTGCCCTCATGCAGCTTACATTCTACCATAATGGAGACTAACAATAAAAAATATGTCTAAGTAACACATATAACTTATCAGGTAGTGGTAAGTGTGGCTAACATAAGTCAAGGAAGGACAAGCAAGAGTGCCAGAGAATGGGGCTGGGGATGTCATTTCTGATGGGGTGGTCAGGGAAGATCTTGCTGAGAAGGTGACATGAGCAAAGAGCTGAAGGAAGCAGAGGGTGCCAGTCCTGTAGAGAACTTGGGGCAAAGCACTGTAGGCAGAGAAAATAGCAAGTGTGCAAGAGCACTGAGGTAGAATGAACCCCAGGGAGGAGACTACTGTCACTGCAGCCAAGAGAGGGAGGGGAAGAGCAGTAACATCTGAGATTAGTTTTGAGTAGAAAAATGACTTGACACGTTAAAAGGCTCACTCTGGCTGCGGTGTTGTGATTAGGCTGTGACGGGTATGGGTGAAAGAAAGGAGATGAAGCCATTTCACCCATCCAGTCTTCCCATGGGAGATAGTGGCTCAGACCTTGACAGTAGTAGCAGAGATGGTGAGAAAAGGCTGGATTCTGTCTATATTTTGAAGATAGAGCCAACAGTATGTGGTGACAGCTTGAATGGAAGAGAAAGAGAGGAGTCAAAGATGGCCACGTGGTTTGGGGCCTGGGCAACGGGAAGAATGAAGTTGTCATTTACTGAAATGAGCAAAACAGCAGGTTGAGCAGGGTTGGAAGGGGAAGATGAGGTGGTCAGTTTCAGACATACCAAGTTCTGAGACACTTATTAGTAATCCAAGAGGAGATGCCAATTAGGCTGTTGGATACACAAATATGAAGTTTAGGGAAGAGGTCTGGGATGGAGTATGTGAGAGTTGTCAGTGTATACATGGTATTTAAAGACATGAAACACTATGCACGAATGACTGTAGTTAGGAAAGAAACCCAAGGACTAGGTCCTGGGAAGTCCAGTGAATTGAGTTTGGGGACAAGAAGGGGAGTCAGCAAAGGAGACTCAGAAGTGGCCAGTGAGTTAGAAGAACGAAGAGCTTATCCTGGAAGTCGAGTTCCTATTTGAGAAAGAAGTGATCAATTAGAGTTAAGGCTGCCTATAGAGAGAGTAATGTGGGAGGACTGAGAAATGGCTATTGGACTTAGCCACGTGGAGGTCATCAATGAGCTTGATAGGAGGACCTTTAGTGGTGGGACAGACATGAGTCTAACTGGAATGTGTTCATGAGAGAATGAGAAAAGAGGAATTGGAAACAGAGAGAAGAGGTAACACTTTTGGAGAGTTTAGCTGGAGGGAAAGTGGGAGTCCAGGGAAAAAGTTTAAAGGAAAAAATTATAGCACATTCCTATACTGTTGGGAATATTCTTGTTGAGGGTTGGGGAGGGGAGGGGAGTGGAAGAGAGAAACTGGGGAGAATTGCTAGAGCTGTGTTCTTGAGTAAATGGGAAGCAGTGGGAGTGTGTGCACAGATGGAGGAGCTGGCCTGAGCTAGCAGCCTGGGCAGCTCTGTCTTAGGAACAGAAGGAAGACAGAGCATAAGGAATTGGAGGTGTGGGAACTTCTGATTGCCTCTGCTTTCTCAGTAAAACCAGAAGCAGGTTTATCAGCTGAGAATGAAGACGGAGAGAGGATGTTACAGGTTTGGAGGGAGAGGAGAAGGTGTGAAACAGTTGCCTAGGAAAGCAGGATGGTGAAAGGTCTAGAGAGATGTGGCAGATGCTGGCAGTCACCGAGGGCCCTCTTGAGGTCATGAATTTATAGTGAGACTAGGCAGCATGGTCAAGTGCTTTTCCCAGTGCAGTTCAACTGCAGAGGTGTGGGCAGAGAGTAGTAAGAAAGCTGGAATCAACCAGGATTGGAAGTTTGCCAGGCAAGTATCATAAAGAGAGGGAAGGGGACAAAAGAATCAAGAATATATATAAGAGAGTGATTATAGTGATGGACTGCGGAAGGAAGAAGGAGGGAAGTAAGGACAAAAGAATATGAGGGACAGTAAAAAAGGGGTTGGATTTGTAGATTGTGTGTCCCAGTATGGTTGAAGAATTACTGGTTTTGAGTAGCAGAGAGAAAAAGAGCTGGAAAGATGCAGATGTAAGCTATTGCATATGGAATGGTTAAGCTACAAGGTCCTACTGTATAGCACAGAGAACTATATTCAGCATTCTGTGATAAACCATAATGGAAAAGAATATAAAAAAAGAATATATATATATAAAACTGAATCACTTTGCTATACAGCAGAAATTAACACAACATTGTAAATCAACTATACTTCAATTAAAAAATGGAAACAAAAGAGATCTGGAAAGATAGAAGGCAGTGATTGGGAAGAAGGGATGCTGGAATTAGAGATTAAGATGTTTCAGTAATTGGTGGAGACAGTCTAGAGGTATATTTTGGGCTGAATTTTGCTCCCTTGAAATTCATATGTTGATGCCACATAACCTCAGAATGTGACTATATTTGGTGAGAGGCCCTTAGTTAGAACAAGGCTGGTAGAGTGGGCCCTAATCCAGTCTGACTGATGTTCTTGTAAGAAGAAGAAATTTGAACACACAGAGAGATACCAGACGTGCCTGTGCACAGA